GTGTAGGGAGAGGAGTGAAGACTTTATTAGCAGAGTTACCAGAGATGTTGGCCAAGAAAGTATTCCTTTCTCCTAAGCTTTTTCAAACTCGGTCTCTCCGGTGGCTGCTATTTCCCAACGCCAGCTCCCACAGAAGGAGCTCCCTGGGCACCACGCGGCTTCCCCTGAGCTCTCACTACGTTGCTGGCCTTGAGCTTCTCGGGACAATGGCTAATTTTGATCAACCGCTTCACGATTTGATTCCACCTCAGCGGCTTATAACACCAGAGGACTCTCCGGTTCTGGGAGGGTTAAAGATGATTTTATGCTCGGTGGAGAGCATTCGGCTCATAGGACAGACGTACTACAGTGATGGGGCCCCTCTCTGCAGCCGAGACGAGTTCAAAAAGCCATCTGAGCTCAGATGCCTCTCCTGGTGATTTACACTGGCCCTGGATGTTTGCCTTTACACACCAATTTCAACACAGCTGGTGTGAGTGTGCAATAAGGGGTTTAACAACCTTAGCACAGACCACACAAACACCCAAGGAAATCACTGCAGCTTGTTTCTTGGTGCAGCACTGGTGCTTTCAGGGTTCGTTCTCTTCTACAGCAAGGGTGGTGGCTTGGTTTGGTTTTGTTTTTTCCCCACACCTGATCTTCATAAATCTATAGTTCAGCCTCACACCTTGATCTGAAATAGGGTGAAGTCAAGCTGTTGGTGCTGATTAAGAGGTTTGGTATTTAACAGATTCAAATCTGTGTCCTACTTCTAATGGACTCAATATGAAGAAACATCACACAAATTGCCTGAGAATTGGCATCTCCAAAATAAGCTATTCAGGATCTCCAAAATAAGCTATTCAGCACTGTATTTTCCCCCTACGCCCCCGAACCAAAGGCACACTTATCTACTCAAAAAGCCTTCTTCATTGCTGCAGTCCCGCAGTCTTTGAGTGCTGGGGACAAACACGCTCCCAGCTGAGGGCAGCGTGCCCTGGAGCAGCGCCGGGCAGGCTGGTGGCACTCGTGGGCATCACCTGCAGCGTCCCAGAGAGCAGCGGTGGAGGGGGCTCGGGGGACTTCCTCAGCCTTGGGAGCAGGCGGTGTGTTTAACACCCAGGTTTGGGAGACACACGGGAGGTGGTCGCACACGTAGAGAGGTACCCAGACCTCCACACCTGTAGTGCGCTGATCTGCATTTCAACAGAACCTGAATGCAACAACATGAAAACCTCCAGTGTCGCTGGCTTCGTGCACTTCATTTCTAGTCTCTTTCCATCCATTCTTGACCTTCGTATAGCTTGTTTTGCTCACGCCTGCTTTCAGCCTCACACATACTGAAGTGCTACATCTCTTTTTTCTGTGGCAGAACTTCTCTTCCAGTACAGCTTTATGAAAGCCAGTAGACCTTCTGGAAGTTTAGCACGTTTCAGATCTTGCAAACAGGTCAGCTGCATTAATTCCTGCACAAGAGACCAAACTCAAACGAGTGGTGTTTTGTTAGAGCTGGAAACAGGAGGTCTGTCTTCAGCACAGCAAGAAACCGCAGTGCTCCCTAAGTCTGCTGCGAGCTGTGCCGCACAGCACGTTGGTCCAAGTGGATCTCCTGCAACCGCTTTTGAAACTCTTCCATTTTTCAGCTAGTGCCTCTAGAAAAATGATGCTTTAAACTATGTAGAATAACAGCACAGTTATGTATTTATTTGGAAGGACAAACTTGCAGTCTAAATAAGCCCTCATTGCTAAGATGACTTTTATTAATATGTTTGATGGAAACCTTCCTTTTTTGGCTATTTTTTTAGCTTAAAATTCTTTGTCCAATTCAATATTTTGCTGCAATAGTGAAAAACTTTCACTCTATCACTGGACTCTGAAAGTCAGATGCACATTAATAGGAAAGGCCACAGCAGAGGGGAGACATTACCCAATATGGAATGAAAATGAAAACTGCTCTTAACGTGTTACAATCTCAGTGCAGTAATGGCTAGAAAAGTCTTGCCTTAAACACTCAGACACCATTCTTCTCCCAGCTTTAAGTCCTCTGCTCCAAGTTACCCTCACAAGGGCCGTACGAAATTCTCGCTCACCATATTTTATAAGCATTTGTTCAACACCACAATGGCCGCTCCAGAGAGCGCGGGGAGAACAGAAGTCTAAAAGGGCGTCTGGGAATCTCAACCATTTCCCTGTAGAAATGCATTTTTATGCCCAGAGACATGCACGCCCTGTTCAAAGTTCCCCAGAGCGATAACAGCCCCAGGAGCACCATCTCCACGTCCCTCTGAGCCACCACCTACCGTCGGTTGTGCTCCTTCCTCTTGCACTGGCCTGGAAGCCTAGCTGGAAACACTCACCAACTCGCAGGAAACCAGTTTCTGATCTGGAGCACCTTCCTGACTCACAATCACACAGGGCTGCGTCACACCCAACCTTTCAGACCTGCCAAGGATCCACAGCTGAAAGCACCGGCTCCTACAGCTAATAGAAGGTTTACTCACCTTGGTGGAGGAAGGGAGATGGGGAAGAGGAGATAACCCATCCCTGACGGAAGGGTGCTTGTGCTCAGCAGGAGCAGGCGAGGGGTCCCACCGGGCCTTTCACAGCGTTGTACCAAAGCACACCATGATGCACCTGAGCATCGCAGCTCTGCTCCGGTAGGGTGAAAAAGCACTGCAGCAGACTTGGAGAAGCCCACAGGAGCACTACTGTGAGCAAGGAACAGATAACCCTGGCTGGTGCAACCTTCTTCCCCCTCTAGCTGAGACCGAATCCGTTCCCAGAAAGCTCCCCAAACTCAGAGCAGAGCCAGGATGCTCCTGCAGCCCATCCCACTGCCGCGGAGCGCAGCACTTACGTAGAGCCCTTCCACGGGCGCGCGCTCCAGGGCCCCGTTGGTGGACTCGGGGGGTTTGCTGGCAGCGATGCTCTTGTCTTGGGGCTTCTTCTCCTCCTCCTTCCCGCCGCCGCCCTGGCCCGGCAGCGCCACCTCCCCAACGCCCAGCGCCTCGGCTTTGTACTTCTTCACAAAGTCTTCCATCAGCTTCAGCTCGCCCTCCGCGAGGCCGCGGCACTGGGACGGGTCCTGGTCGTACAGCGGGAGTTGTCTCATCAGCTGCCGCCGGCGATAGTACGCCCCGTCCGTCCCCGCCACCGGCTGCATCTCCTTCGGGATCAGCTCCATGTACTGCATGGCCTGGGACGGCGAGAGCACTGACAGTTACTTTCTTTGCACGCGTGCTTTGCACACCTTACTCGCCTTACAAAGCGGTGGCAGAACACGTGCCCCTTCCCCTTTGAGTTGTTCTAACCTACGCTTCAGAAAGAAAAGGCTGAACTCAGATGCAGGTAGCATCCAGGAGGCTGCTGTTAATCGTTTCATCCTCAGAAAACAGGTTGGTGGTTTGTTTCGGGGTGTGTTTTTTTTT